CAAAACAAAGAACATGCTTCATACTAATGCTAAAAAAGGAATACTGAAAATGTCATGCAGCTGTAATTGTTCTTTGTTGAATAGACCTCCTATTAAGACAGAGTATCAACAGGAAGCCATCCACTCTGAGAGAAGAATGGACAAAACGTGACCCTGTTGTCTACCTTCATGGTGGGAAACACAAAGTAACCCCAACAACAACTCTAGTGAAGGAATACTGATATCCACTGAAAAAGAGGTCTGTGTAGTAACACAGTGTTTCTTCTTTATAGCTGAATTCTACTGAAAGCCTCTTAGAGTACAGAGAACGCAACAATTAGCTCACACAGCCTTGAGCAAATGCTTTTTTTCCTAAGTCATCCCAGCATGTAAGACATGGAAAATCACAAACGCATGTAGCAGATCTATAAAGCACCAAAATCTTACAAAAAAGCGCACCAGAATAGAGATTCACCTACCACCAAGGTGCACAGAGAAGAGCATAAAGAAACAAAATTGTATTTATTATTTGTCCAAATAATAAATATGAATCCATCAATAAAGTTATATGTTTTAACTTCTTCAAAAAGGGAAAAATAAAGAAAAGCAAAACAAAATTTTCAATCAAAGACACACAAACAAAAGTGACACCACATTTCAGCTGGCTTAGAGTTGAGCCGCAAGCCTCAGCAGACCCCGACAACCTAATCCTACCTGGCCTTGTATCGCCCAATAACCCTGCCAGAGAACAGCAGCAGGGCCGCCGAGCCGCTTCTCCCCCATGGCATCCTGCTGTTGTCCCCCGAAACTGCTGCAAGCTGTAGGAAACAGCAGCTGCCTGCCCCTGGCAAGCTGTTTCCTTGTAATCTCCTCAATGCACAAACACATTAGAACAAGGACAGTCTGACTGTGCTGGCAGAAACGTCACTATTTTGCATCCTGAGGCAGGAAAGGAGGTCGCCGTGGGGGGCTCGGCAAGGCTAGAAGCTGACTGGTTGAATAGCTGACGGGGCTGGGACAGACAGAGGAGAGATACCATCTGAATGGTTTTTAGGGACGGCGCTCGAGCTGGTGGGCTGAACAAATGGATGGAGCACAGAAAGTAACGTGTTTGTCTTAATGGCCCTACGGCTGGAATTAAGTTTTGGATTAACTTGTGCTGGAGCTACATCATTTACTGGAACAAAGAAAAATGTGAAACATCCTTTATAATATTCACTTACTGATTTACTTGAACCCAAGCATAGGAATCTGCAAAACTGTGCCTTTAACTTGTCCTTTAGCCCTGAGCACGAAAAACAATTAGAGACACAGATGCTCGTCATTTAATGGTGTCTTCTGAGAAATGTAGAGACGGCTATGACATAACGTGGGACTCCTATATGCGTCAGTTATGTTAAACATAGAAGAACCTTCCAGAAAACTAACTTCCTGCATGTCTAACTAACATGCATGTCTTTGGACTTGCAATTGTTATGCTGTGAGTGGACAGTGCTAACCACTACATCGCTGCCCATCCATCAACATTTAGCCTACATAAAAGTGAGGTGTGGTGTAAAAATAATGAAATAGGTGCTCATTTAGATTTTTGTAGTGTTGAGTTCCTGTACAAGAATGTTCACCCACCGAACAGCTTCCGTGTCTACTCCAATAAACATGTCAAGTCACTGTAGTCACTCAACACACGACGTCCTCCTGTTGACAGTTTACCTGGCGGGTCTGATACATGTTCTGTGTTACTGGCATCTCAGCGTTTGGCAGTGGTCCCAGTGACTGTCAAAACTCAGTTTGTGTTTAACAAGACAAAAACAAATTGAAGACCGCAGGGACACCTCTTCAGATTCTACCTTTCTCATCCGCTCTGTGCTGACGCTAACACACTCCTTATTTTTCTTTGTTTATTTTAATACGCCAACCTGAAGTCTCTGAGGTCCCTCTTTCTGTATTTGATTTCCTAAACTATTTGAATTCAATTCAATAACAATATAACACTAAATCACAACAACAGTCATCTCAAGGCGCTTTATATTGTAAGGCAATAATAAAATTATGTAGACACTAAATTGCAAGTTAGAATCAGGCTGTCTTCTTTGACTGTGACTGCTGACTGTCTTTCCTCTGAACTCAAGCCCCTTTCACACCTTATCTGCCAATCCTCCTTGGCTCAGAGATACGCCAGGGAAAAAAGGAGAGTAGAGAAC